CCCTTCCCACCAAACTGTGTGGTCCTTTTAGTCTGGAGTTATTGGCAAAGCTGGGCAATTGTTTAGCAGGTTTAACCACTCTGAAAAGTTTGATGCGATTCGGACTGAGTTCTTAGAATATTTTGGTAACTAAATTATTACTCCTGGCAAGCTTCCCTTTTCTTATTCTATCCCTCCCTCTTCCCTCCTACATTTTTTTTCTTTTCCTCTTTATTACTTATTGTTTGTGACAGGCATGAGCATTGTTAAGGTTGACATGTATATTACATATTTCTGATTTTTGTGTTGCATTAAAAAAAAAAATCAATAAAAATCATAAAAGAAAGAATATGTAAGTGTTTTGCAGGAATGAAAATTCTGACTGAATCAATACAGCAAGAACCTGTCTAAATGTTTTGTCTCGACAACTTTTATGCTATCAGCTTAAAAAAAATGTTGAAGTTGAGCACTTTAACAAGTTGGAAAAGAAATATTTCGAAATATTTCATTCCATAGCATCCCAAAATTGACTTTTCACTCCAATTCAGAACAGGGCCAAGGCTCAACATCTCAGCCTTTCCCTATGCAGGGAATTCTGTTTTTCAGCCAGATGACAAACCTATCATTCTAAGATAAAATTGACCATTTCTGCCCTATCCTGCTTTATAAGAATTCCCCTACCTATTGCTATATTTTGTTCTGCAACATGACAGGATCTCCTTGATCTCCTGTCCCTTCCTTGTATGCACCAGTACAAACTCATGCTTTCCAAGTCTTCCATGCCCTGAACCTTTGTTCAGATCTGATTTTCCTTCCTTTAGTTTGAACAATGTTTGGGGTCATCCATGTCACCCTTCCCTGTGTTTGTTGTCTGTCCGATAATTTGCATCGAAGGCAAAGCCAGCCTAAGGAAGTGTTAATTAAAACTGTTCAATAATTAAATCACTCTGCTTAGTGTTGGGTGAAAGCAGTCCTAGCTTCATCTGCTGGCTCTGAGCTCAGCGCAGTGGCTTACACTCGTTACATAAGGTTAATTTTATTAGTGACTTGCTTTGCTGGAGGCACAGACCCATTATGAGGTGTAGGTTTCCAGAGGTTGTGTAACTGAAATTAGAAATCCCCATAAGGAAGACACAGCACTAAGAAGAGAGGCAGTCGGCACTGAGATTCTGGACCTAGGTACTTAGAGGATGGCAGATGGCAGCATTATCAGTGCTAAAGAGTCCTGGAAAAGGGAAGATGGGATGTGCCAGGGGGATAAGGGACAAATGCTCTAAACATTGGGACCCACTTCCTCCCCTCCTGCTACTGGCCTAACAGAGCTGGCGGGACCCACCCAGAGCAGTGCTTGAGCACACAGGCACAGAGACAGTAGATAGTACCACTGACCTGACAAAATCTTCTCGAGAAGGAAACATGTGGTGTCTGTAGGTCCATTCAAAGCCTTTTTGAGTCTTAACAGACCTGTGCCCACAGTAGCACTTACACTGTGTAAAGGCATAGCCATGCACCTGTCTGTGATATGAGATCAGAATTAGAGGTCAAACTTTGGGAAAAAAGGTACAAGTTCAGTTCACAGTGGATACGTGCACACATACTAAGTTGACTTACAATAAGTTGCTCAGCTAAACTGACTTAAGTTAAGCCACATCCGAGTAGCTCCTTGATGAGATGACAGCAATTTTGGGAGCTAAATCAATTTAACTAATGTGACTCAAGATAATGCACTTTGGCGGTGTATTATCTTGCGGCACATTTAATTTGACTCTGCTCCACATATGTGTATCTGCTCTGATAGTTAAATCAACTTTAAAAAGTTAAGTTGGCTTAACTGTCAGAAAGACAGTATGTGTGTATGCAACCAGTGTGGTTGGTATTGAATGACCAAGTGATACATTGAAAGCAAAGCAGGAAGAGGATATTGATGCTCATTTAAGCTGGCCAAAAACAAACACAAAAAACCCCACTCTCCAACAAATGGGTTTTAGACAACAGGAATGGGTTGTTGGTGGGGGTGGGGGTTGTTGAGTTTTCTGTTTTGCATAATATTCCACAAAGGTAAGAACAGGTTTGTTTCAATTTCATTTTGTTTCTCCTCCTTTCTTTCCTCTGCCCCAAGAAAAAGGGGGCAGGTAGAATAGGGGTCCCCATACTAATAAAAGACAAAAATTAAAATATTTATATTCAGAATTACAAAAAAAATCCCTTTATAGAGAGAGAGAGAGAGAGAGAGAGAGAGTACACACATCTGTGCGCATATGGAAAAGGGAGGGGGAACAATGCCTGGTAAATTCAGACCCTTGAGTGACACTGCCTCCCACTAGTCAAATGACTGGTACATATCTATGTTATCTCAGGTAGGGGAATAAGATATCAGGGCTTCTGGGATCAGTTCTTTCTATTGACTCATGCACCCTTGGGCTAGTCAACTGACTTCCAAGAGCCAGATTCTGATTTCTCTTGCACCGGTGTACATCCCAGGCAACTCCATGGACAGATGTCACTGGGAGTGAAGGATGCACAGCACCACACAGAGTTGAATCTCATTATTATCTGAATGGCAGAATTACCTAGAAGACCCAGCCATAGATCAGAGTCCTAGTACAAGGTGCTCTGCAAACCTGGAGCAAAGACTGTCCTGACCCAGAGTGCCCACAGGCTATGGGAAGTTTGTTAATCACTTTGAGCACCTTCACACATAGCACACTAAGGAAGAGAAAAGCATTGCTATTATTAGGGCAAATTCAGACCCAGTTATGCTTGATGACAGCCCCATTACTAAGGGAGTTGAACAGATAAGAGATGAATAATGTGACCCCATGTGTATAGGCATGCAGGTAACACCAGAGCCTAATCTTCCTAAGGTCGTTATGTGGGGCACATTATTCATGGGGCAGAAGATCTACAATAGGTCAACAGAGGACAAAGTAGTGGGTATATAAAAAATATGTATTATTAATTCTCAGGACAATCAAGCCATACATTCCTTTTTTTGTGCCATTCTATTATTATGGATGTTTTTCTGCTTCAAAGAAAGGTTCAAAAAATGCAGGAAAGATTCAGAAAGTGTTACCAAGCTCCCAAAGCCAACCCAACAAGGTTTACTTTTCACAGTCTTTGCACATCGGTTGTTCTTGCTCATTTCTCAATGCCTGAACACCAAACGTGAAGTTATAGGAGGATGCAGGGATACTGGTTTAATCCCCCTAAAGGTGCAACAAATGTTTCTTCATGTAATGCTTACACGAGTGTGCTGTGGGCTGAGGATACACCTGGACACCAGAAAGAGCCAAGATTCAAACTCAGCAGTGATACTAACTCCTTTATTTAGTTGCTTCCACTATCACCATCAGAGTGGTACCAGCTTGACACAAACTAATGTTTTTATCATATTTCCCAACCTCAATGTATCACTCACTGTCTAGATGGGGAGCAGAGGCCCAGTGGCAGAGGCAGAGTGAACTGGAACTCAAACCTCAACTCCAAAACCTTCCTGATTTGTGGGAGGTGGGACAGGAATCCATAGATTACACTTGCCCCTAGGGCTTCGTTTCTGGGTCTGAATTAATAATCCCATTTTACCAAAAATAACACTCTGCTGAGCCCTGGAACATGAAGGCCATAGTCCTACTTAGGATATAGTTGGCAACTCAAAAGTTTTGCCAAGCTGGTGAGATCTGCAGAGGACAGATTGGGGGGTTTCAGCCCCATAAAAATCAGAACCCCAACCCATGACCTAAACCTGACCAGAATGCCCATCGAAAAATCCTTCAGCTCATCCCTGGGAGGTGAACAGGAGGGTTAAGAAGGCTACATGGAAAGATACCTGGTGTACAGGCAGCTTGTGCCCAATTCAGCAGGAATCCAGGCAATATGTAGAAGTGAATGAAAAGCACTTGGATGGCTTTAGCCCTAGGGAAGGCGGTTCAGAGGTGGCCAGATGGAAGTATTCAAATTAGATGAGTGCTATTATGAAGCAAAGCAGGAGCAGCTAGCTGAGGTCCCTAGCCAGAGCAGAATGACGGGATAAAGGCTTACGCTAAGAAGGAACACGTGCAAGGAGACTCTGATAAGGGATTACTTTTTGAATAGCTGAGTTTTCAGTGAGGGGGATGGACTAGAGCTGAATTAACATTTAAGGCAGGAACTGGATGGCTGCATACAAGTCTAATACACTAAGGTGCATCAGGCCAAGTACCTGGTGGTTCTAGCTGCGGGTTAAGGATGGGATTTTCCCTAACCCGGTTCCCCCTTACCCCCACCAGCTGTGGCTTGGTTGTTTTCCATACCAGCCAGTGCACACCTCATCCAACACAAGCCATTCACGGGGCAGAGATGGGACAGCCTGGCGGGACACAATGCACAAGGTTGTCTTCTCCACTCACCCTCTGGAAATGGGGGTGGTTTCAGACCCCTAACCCAGCTGAACTCAGGGCCCCTCACCTTACCCCATTGCCTTCCACACTCCTTGGCAGCACAGCTCTGGGAGGGCACGCACTGCCTTTGGCCGCTTCTGCCCACAGTTGTGCAATGGCTGCTCCATAGGCAACCCAGCATTAACTCAGGGAGCAGATCCAGAGCTGGTGCTAAACTCAGCGCCCAAATATCCAGAATCCGTCACTTGCTGGGTATCCACCAGAAAGGGAACTGTGTACAACGAACACCAAACTCCCTACTTCTGTGCACATGCACATGCTTTATAGCCTTAGCTTGCCTACCTGGAAGAGTTCATCTATTAGCAATACAGCACAATGTGCAAAGAAAGTCACAGGTTTGTCCTCTCACCTGGTTTTTCCCGTGCTTGTTTCAGGCTGTATAGACTGTACTCCCTGCATGGAGAAGATGTTCCTGTTGTGGCTTTTAATGACATTACTGTTAGCAGTTTCTAACCTGGGTGGGCAGGAACCAATAGCTTAAGGGCTTTCCTATGAACACCCCAGATCAGTCGTTCTTAACTTTTTTGTACCAGGACCCATTTGTAAACATCAGTGACCAGTCCTGACCTAGTGCCCCTCACTCCCGACTCACTGCCCCTCACCCCACATACCCCAGCCTCATCATGTGTGGAGCACTGGGGAGGACATGGGGGGCCCCAAGCAGCACTTTGCAGGCTGGAGCTCTGCCAGCCTGCAAAGGAAAAGCCAGTTTCCCAAGTTTTTCTCATTTAAAGGAGAATTCATTTTTAAAGTTTGTTTGTGACCCTTTTGATATATTCTTGTGACCCATGGGTTGAGAAATGCTGACTTAGATGACAGAAGCAATCTGCATGCTGCGGTTCTTAAGAAAACTCTTCCTTTCTCCATTGATAAGGATAGCCATATTACTTAGAAGATTTCTAACCAACAGAGCAGTGAGTTTCTGGAACAGCAGTACAGTAAAAGGTGGCAGCAAGTAATCTAAATAGTTTTAAAATAGATCTCGCCATGATACAGTTGTTTATGGTAGCTGTGGACTGGCCCAGGCATTCAGGGCGTCCCTTCCAGTGTAACCATCTGTGAAGCTGAAGGCTGGGTCACAGAGATCTACACAATTAATTTGTTATGGCTGGGAATCTAGCCAGGCAAAAGCTCCCACTAACTTGGAACCAAGGGGTGGTAGGGGGGAAGTAAATAACTATAATACAGGCATTAACCCTGTATCTCTCTTTAGAGGCTACTGGAAGGAGAAAAATAGTGCAGAAAAAGTCCATTTCCAATCCCTGCATTTCTTGATCCTGGCCCAGCCATGTCAAATATATATCCTGTTCTCACCAGGCTAACTTGCTGTCTGCACCGGGGGCCTACGTGGCATACATGGACTTTGTGTCTTAAGGAAAAAGAGACACTGACATAGGGCATGTGGAGACAAAATGAGGGCCCTAAATTGAAGCAGTAGGTTTTTAAAAACACTGCTTCAATTTAGGGCCCTTTAAAACCCCATGTCACGCACACACCTGAATGTACCTGCCTCTCTGGCGGTGAGGAGGGGAGGATGAGCTGCTGGCAGGTGGAGCGGAGGGGAGGCGGGGGGAGAGGGGCTGGTGCTTCCTTCTGTGGCACCCACCTGGAGGCACCCGGCTTGGGCAGTCCCAGGCGGTACCACAGGCTCCAGAGAAAAAAAAAGATCAGGCTTGCCGCTTTTCTTGGGCGGAGCTGCCTTCCCAGGCTGCTGCCAGGCTGCCTACATGGGCTTCCTGCAGAGCCGTGGAGCTTCACAGAGCCCAGTGCTTCGCTCCACAGCTGTAGGGCAACAAACTAAAACTCCTTGGAGGAGTTTTAGTTTGCTGTGCCCCAAGTCATTTAAGGCACATTGTGCTGCCAAATTTGCTACAGCGGCTGGAATTACTGAGCAATACACCGCCGATGCATGCGAACACGTGGCCTTTCTGGACTTTAGAAAGGCCTTCAGCACTGTCTCTCGATTGAGGTGTTGATGCCTACACAGTCAAATGGGTCGCCAACTGGCTGGAGGGCCGCACCCAGAGAGTGGTGGTGGATGGGTCCTATTTGACCTGGAGGGATGTGGGCAGCAGGGTC